CTGTGTTTATTTTTCACCCAGAGTCCTTTCCCTAAGCCAGTGTTTTTTAAAGGGAGATTCATGGACCATGTTCAGCAACATCACTTGGAGTACTTATTTGAAATTCTCATTTCTGCCCCCACCCAGCCCTCCAAATCAGATCTCTGGGGAGCAGAGTCAAGGATTCTGCCTTTTTTGTTTGTTTGTTTTTACCAGCATCCCAGATGATTTTTTCAGAACTACTCTAGGGCCTACCTACCAAAGGTTTTCTAGTTCCCTCATTGCCCAAGTTATAAGTTTGTATGTTTGATTGGTTGGTTAGTTTTATGGGGAATACATTCTCTACATTCTACATTTTTCTTGATGCTAAGAAAGGACCTAAAAACATCTGGAACCCTAACAATATAATTGAAACTATAGATCAAGATGTAGAAGTTATGAATTCACCTGGCTGTCTATTATGAGATGTGGGTTGTTTTGATGATAGACAGGCTCAAAATGGGAGGAAGTTTAGAATATACATTGTAATATGCAAAAAAAGGCTCAGCCATGTAATAATGGGGGAAAGTATGCCACTTTTTTTTTTAATCTTCACCCGAGGAGAGAGAAACATCAATCAGTTGCCTCCTGTACATGTCCCAACCAGGGATCAAACCCCAAATCTCCATATGTGCCCTGACTGAAAATCGAACCCGTGACCTTTCGTTGCATGAGACAATGCTCCAACCAACTGAGCCATGCTGGCCATGGAAAGTATGCCACTTTAATAGAGAAAAATATATTTGTAAATTGGTCACAGTATCCAAATAATGGTACAGTTCACATGAAGATCCAATTATCATGAATTTTCAGTTCCTTTTCATACAAAATTGTTCCAAAGAGTCATTGGTGGTTGCTACTTCTACGTCCTTGCTTCTCATTCCCTTCTCAATGGTTTCTGATTGTACTGCCATCTCCCCCACTCCACAGGCCCTGTTCCTACCAGAGTCAACACGAACTCATCTTGCCCAATCCACTGGTCACTGCTTCTGTCCTCATGGTTCTTGTGCAAATACTCAGGGCTTTTGAAACAGTTGACTACTTCCTCCAACAAATGCTCTCCCCACCAGCTTCTGTGAAACTTCACTCTCCTGTTCCCTCCTCATACCCTTCCAGGCCCTTCCAGCTTGCACGCTAAATGCTGGCATGCCACAGTGCTCTGTTCTTGTTTCCTCGTTTGTCTTCCCACTGCATTTAGAATAAACCCAGGCCCCTTACCAAGCAAACAAGACCCTGTGTGATTCAACACCTTTTCACCTCTCTGAACTCATCTCCTCCCATTCTTTGCCATGTTCACAAATCTCCAGCAGAGTTGGGAGAGACTTATTTATTTTGGATCACAGAGGAAATGCAAGAAAACTACCTGCTGATTATGAGGTAAGCCAACACACCAAACCTCCACGGGGAGATCTTAGCTCCAGGTGCTGGGTTTTATGCACACAACAGGAACATATGTCCAATGATTAAGTTCATGGCCTCTAGGATCATACAGCCTGGGTCCAAATTTTAGCTGTGTGACCATGGGGGAAGCTTAACCTCTTTGTGCCTCAATTTTTTTCATCTATAAAATAGGGATAATAAAGTTTTTACAAAAACCTTGTAGAGTGGTTGCCAGATTTAGCAAACAAAAATACAGGAAGCATGGAACATACTTACACTAAAAATTTATTTGCACCCTGACTGGGTGGTTCAGTTGTTTGGAGTGTCAGCCCCTACACCAAAAGATTGCAGGTTCAATTCCCTGTCAGGGCACATACCTAGATTATGGGTTCAATCCCCAGTAAGGGCACATACAAGAGGCAATAAATTGATGTCTCTTTCTCTCAAAACAATAAAATAAATATTAATGTAAAACAATATCATTTTTTAAATATCAAAATTTTAAATAAAGACAGGATCAGTATTACTGATTTTTCCTTTCACTTCATGTTCCAATAAGGTTGGGCAGGGCACTGTTACTGATTTAATCTGAACCCCCTGAACTGGAATTTCTAGGAGTGAGGATCAGGAATCTTTATTTTATTAAGCTTTCTAGGTGATTCTTGCATGTGCTATAGTTAGAGAGGTACAGGAAAGATGATCTCAATTACAGCTTACTTTGATAATTTCCAATGACATAGTCATTGGTGAAATGGGGGGATGTTTGTCTAAATATTAAACAATAGTTATTTTATGCCAAGGGCAAATAGACACACACACACACACACACACACACACACACCACAAAGTGACTGGTTGAGGGGAAAAGAACTTTTACTCTAAACTCATATTAAATTTGCCTCCAATCAGCTAACATTGTAACAAGGTTCTGATGCAATAATTTGCCTTTATAGTGACAGTTAGTCAATCAATACTATAGAATGCCCAAAGTCCATATGGCACTGAAAGCCAAATAATACAATTGTGAAGATGTAGCAAGTCAGAGAGTTTAAGCATAGGCTTTCTACCTGGCAAACAAAATACCTATTAATGGATTGCAATCCCAACCCACCCTCTTGCTACCAGAGGCATACATGGTACTTTTATAGCCCTAGATCTACCAAAAATCATGAATTTTTTTTTCTTATAAATATTTGTTCATTGTCATGATTCTGTGTTACACCACCCAGGTCTCCCTTCATGAGCTGGAGGATTAATCCCCACCCCCCACCACCAGCTCTTAGGAATTTATTCATTATCTGATATCACTCAGTTGTCAACTCCTTTGAGAATTGTCATGACAAAAGGGAGCCACCCCACCCATCTGCAAACTCCCTACATCCCCTAACAGGCTAATGCAGGGGTAAAAAGGCCTTGTCCCTTCACCCCAATTCAGAACAACTCCAAAAGGCCAACCCAGTTTTAGAAGTCCTGGCAGGATCAGCTGAGGCCTTCTCCCTCTTCTCAACCCTGCTTATTTCTGTTCCCCTTACCATTGCTGATCCTGAGAGCACTCCCTAACACATTTTCTACCTGCAAATCTCCATCTGGGAGTTTGCTCTCCAATGAGCACAACCTACTCCACTTATGGAACTTCCTAACACTAATTAGAGGTTGAACACTTGGCATACAATGAAAGAAATATCACAAGGAAACAAAAGTGATTCCGCCAGTAAGTTCTGCTCATCGTTGACAATGATTGACAACCTTCACTGGGATCAATAAAGACACCTTCACATTTTCTCAAGTCTCACTTTCAATGCTACCATGTTCATATGTTTATTCCAGGTGACTAAGTCTTTACAAAGGCCATGTGAGTTCAGGACTCCAGAGGCCAAAGAAGATTCTAAAATAGGTTTTATCTCACTTGAGGATCTTCAAACCCTACTTCATGGTATGCAGATCTGCACTGATAATCTTCTCCTCCCCTTCTAATTTAATGATAGAAGTAGGAGTTTGGATGGTGACTGAGACAGAAGCATAAACCACCCACTTATTCCAACTTAAATGAAGTTTGAACTGAGGTGTATTCAATTCAAGTGATCCCTTTTCTGGTTCTCTGTATAAGAAGCTGTTGCTATTATTGTTGTTCTTATTTGAAAGGCTTAAAAGATCCCCAGAGGAGGTGGCACAGAGAAAGTAGGGTCAGGGTCAGAAGTGGGGCTTATCCAACCTAGCACCGCACGGCACAGGTCGGTTACAGAACCAGAGTGATCATCAGGGAGCACTAAAGACGTAGTCAGAATAGTATCAGGGAAGAAGATCGGAGAACAAGGAGCCAGGCTGATCGTGAGAAAATCAGACATTGAATAGAATCAGATACCTGGCACAATGTAAGGCACATGGTTCAGAACTAAGCCTGTGGACGCTCAAGTTGCTCAGCACACAGCAGGGATCGGTGTGGCAACTTCATCTCTGCCCTGGCCCACCCCTTTCCCTGTGCCTCTCTCCTCCAAATCTCACCCAATAGAAACGACAGCGGGGACTTGCAGGTGGAGAACATGATGGCAAGAAGAGGGCCACAAGTCCCCTTCAGTGTCTCGCCCTAACCACATGCATTCATGCTTCGCACCTCTTTCCTCACCCAGGAAGAAGCCACAGCTCTCCCACATGCCGCATTCTGGGCTATCGTTGAGCACACAGCCTCCTGTCCCGGGTCAGTGCAGGTTGTGAAGAAAATGACTGTTCTTCTGCTGATGCGGTGGAAGCATCAGGAAAGAACTGTGGATGAAAATCCTCTTTCAGCCTGAGATTGAAGCTGACAGGAGGAGAAAAATGGAAAGCAAAGTTCCCTTCATCCGGATTCGCCTCTTTTGCAGCTTCCAAGATGAGATCTTGGCTGGAGAGGCAAGTGTGTGACTCACCCAGAATGTAAGGCTCACCGCCGAGGGTGGTGATGGACGATACAGAGTCACAGGTTAGTTTGTTGTTATGTTTTGACCGTGTCATGTTAGGAAAGAAACTTTCAACCCTAATTTTGAGGTACCTCAGGCGAGCCCCAGATATCCTAACATGTGACTAAAATTTTTCAAAATGAATTTGCTCTTACTTTTCTGCAATGTAAGAATAACTCTATAGGCTACGAGGGAGTTTTAGAAAAGGGAGTCATGGCTGGGGTCATAGACCCAAAATATTCCAATCCCTGCAGTTTCTTCCATATTTCACTCCTTATAATTCTGGATTCCCAAAAGATTCAAAATGACTGGGCTAAGGTTTCCAACGTCAGGGTAAATCCCTTTCCCAAGTGACAGCCATAAAGCAAACAATGTATCAAACCAAGTCTAAAGTAGAGATAAAGGTAAACTCAAAAAGAAATGTCAACTAACTAGCTCTGCGACCTTGAGCAACAGCTTTCCCCTCTCTGGGTCTCAGTGTTCCAACCTAAATCCAGAAGACTGTGTTCTCTACACCCAGCCCCAAAATTATCTGTCTGTGCCAAACCCCGCCCCAAGCACCTGCAGACTTTACGATTTAGGAGCCTGGCCCCTCCCAGCTCCTCCTTCTCTTTTAATCCTCGATTTAGGAGCCTGGCCCCTCCCAGCTCCTCCTCCTCTTTTAATCCTCGATTTAGGAGCCTGGCCCCACCCAGCTCCTCCTCCTCTTTTAATCCTCGATGAAGAGCTTCCCCTCTCATGGCTTTTGGAGGGGAAGCAGCACCTCCTAGGTCCTGCCAGCAACAGCTGTCCCCAGCATGAGAGCAGCCCCGCTCCTGGTGGCCAGAGCGGCAAGCCTTCACCTTAGCTCCTTGCTTCTGCTTTCCTTCTGGCTGGACCCAGGTGCGGTAGCTAAGGAGCTGAAGTTTGTGACACTGGTGAGTAGAACTTTGTCGTTGCTTTTCTTTAAAAACTCTGACCAGCAGGGTCTGAACAACAATTGCCCGGTTTCACTTTACCCTTACGCTTGTTGTTGGGGAGACCAAACTCCAGAGAGTGAATAAGCAGGTTTCACAAGTTCCTCAGTGAAGCGTTAACATGTCCTGACACAGAGGCATTTGGTTTGTTTATTTTTGCCTTTGCCGATCTTATTTATTTATCCACTTTCTTCACAACTGCCTTGAACTCGGGTTCCTTTTGACAGCTGCTCGGGCCAGGAGAAGAAGCCAGAGCTGGTGCTGTTTAGTACCAGTGGCTGAACTAGCTTTATCAGCTTGATGATGATTGGTCTGCAAACCAAAAAGCCGTCATTTCTGAATGAAAGAGCCTTCAGCTGATCAGGGAATTAGTCTTTGTAAACAGTGTCTGAAGCATTCCAGGATGACTTCCCGATGCATAGATTTGGTTGACCATTAAAATCATGTTTTCCCCCACCCATATGTGTGACAAGTTATGAAAAAAAGGGGAGGCTGCCTAAAGCATAATGTCAGGAAGAGAAAATATACTGTTGGCATCGTTTTAAAAATAGATAGTTTGCAAAGTAAAGGGGATTTAAGGCTATACATACCAGTTCTAGAAGTAATCCTTCTATATCTCTTGGTTTCTTTGTGTCTTTGATTTTCTCTGTCTCTATTTCTCTTTGATTTGTTTCATTTATTGTCTTTCTTCCTCTGATCCTTTTCTTGTTTTTCACGGGTTCTCTAGATCTCTTTCTCTGTTTCGCATTTTTTATTTGATTGTGAAGACATGAAGATAAATAAGTAGATTTTCTTTCTATAAGAATACTCATAATTTATTTTTATAACTTACTTTAAAATTAAACATAGCCCTGGCCAGTGTGGCTCAGTAGATAGAGCATCGGCCCACTCATCAAAGGCTCATGGGTTCGATTTCTCATCAAGGGCACGTACCTGAGTTTCAGGTTCAATACCTGGCCCCAGTTGGGGCGCATGTGGGAGATCCATGCCTCTTACATTGATGTTTCTCTCTCTCTCTCTCTCTCTCTCTCTCTCTTTCTTTCCTCCTCCCTCCCTTCCACTCTCTCTAAAAAAAAATCAATGGAAAAAATATCCTCAGGTGAGGATTAACAAAAAAATATTAAACAAAGTTACTATTTTGTTAGCTTAGTATAGTCAGAACTCCTTTTCCCTCTACAGAAAGAAATGTCATAACCATGTGTTTATGCAAGTCATGATTCTTAGTCCAAAAATCTTTACTAGGTCATGAGTCAACAATGAGAGAGAGAGAGAACCAGAGAAATACAGCATCAATTTATTTACAAATGGTTCACCAGCCATCAGTTTTCCATGCTGGATAAAAAGCTGTATAACATTCTGTACCTTCCATGGATTTCCCTGTCTAACTTTTAGTTCTATGCGTGGGTTCCTTGTCAATATGTGCATTAAGCAAGTGTAGAGACTGCAGAAATTGCACTCCAACACTCTTAACCTGTGACAAGCAGGTCGAGTAGTAATCCTCCTTGAGTTAGTACAGTGAACTCTCGGGTAACTGCGCGTGGTTGAGTCTCTCCTCCTTGTTTTACTACAGCTCCGGCTAACTTCCCTTGACTACCAAAGTCCCCTGGATTTCCTTTCTTCCCCTCCACTCTTGGTTAACATCTGTTTAGTTTACGTTAATTCTCCCCTAAGAAAAACCTACAGAAGTACTTCACTTGGAGCCAAAAAATACTAGCAATTATCACGCAAGGCCAATGCTAACAATTTTTCCTACCACATCTTCCTTCCATTAATGGTAGATGAAGGGTAACTTAATATATCTTTCTTGGCCCTTACAAGACAACTTCCATTCAAGGACTTAAGCCAGAAGATATTACTGCCTTCTTTCTATTGATGATAGTGAGTGTTTGACAATAAATGCTTCCATTGTATACCCAGGGAAATCCTTAGAAAATTATCAGGAGAACCAGAAAAAAGAAAATGCCTCCGATTAAAATAGTATGATTAATAACAATAACCAATATTTAATTGAGTATTTGCTAGATGCCAGGCACTGTTCTGAGAGTTCAATATGGATTGTGTCACAGAATCCTCCCAACCCTATAAAGTAGTGTTGCCAGGAAAACACAGGATGCCCAGTTAAATTTGAATTTCAGATAAACAGCAAATAATTTTTTAGTGTATGTTCCATGAAATATTCGGGCATTCTATAGTTTTATTCGCTAAATCTGGCAACCACTCTATAAGGTTTTTGTAAAATAAACCAACAAATAAATAAATAAATAAATAAATAAATAAATAAATAAATAACAACTTATTCCTATTTTATAGATGGAAAAAATGAGGTACAAAGGGGTTAAGCAACTTGCCCATAGTCACACAGCTAAGATTTGGACCCAGGCTGTATGATCCCAGAGGCCATGCCCTTAATCCCTGGATGTATGTTTCTGTTGTGTGCATAAAACCCAGCACCTGGGGCTGAGATCTCCCCTTGGAGGTTTGGTGTGTTGGTTTACCTCATAATCAGGTGGTTTTCTTGCATTTCCTCTGTGATCCAAAATAAATAAGTCTCCCCCTACTCTGAAAAGCTGTTCTTGGCAGAAAGAGCAGGAAACTGTCCTTGATTCTTGTTCTGTCTCATAAACAGAGTCACCACATAATCTTTTAAAACAGGTTCACTAAAGTGTGCCCCATAGAAAGCTAGTTTGATGAGTTGTCAATAGACATTACTTGCAAAATGGGTCTCAGTACTCAAATCAGCTTTGGGGATTGAACATGGTATAGACTGTATTCAAGGGTCTCTTAAATGCAGGACTCCCCAGTCTTTAATATTCTAATATGTACTGTGGCTTTCAAAGAAAGGATTTAGTAAACTGTATTTCCTAAAATTTGACCACAGAATCTACCTCCTTTTTTCCAGAGAGTGTACTGTAGAAAACTCTTAAAGAATTGCTATTTTTAAATTTATATACAGAGAATAAGTGTGGTGAATCCCAACGTATCCATCAACCAGCTTGAATAATTATCACTCATGGCCAATCTTGTTTCATCCATATGCCCACACATTCCTACTGTAATCTGTACATCATCATTCCATCCATAAATAGGGACAAGCCATTTGAAAGCATTCTCTCGCCCCTAAGCAAGGGCAAACCACAAGTTCAGGTGATCTCAGACAGAGAGAAAAACTTCTTCTCATTCCACCCAGGTTACAAAGAAAGAGATGATGAGTCACACCGTATAAGCTCTTCTCATTCTCCATGGTTAACCTTGCAAAATTCTTACTCAAATCATAGAATATCCTTGAAGAAAACAGCCTCCGAATCTTCAGCACCTCTTCTCTACACTGGGATGGGTAACTTCCACATTGTGGTTGGGCAAACTCAAATGATGCGAGTCATCACACTTTTCCAGGGACGGCAAAGCTGCGGGGTTCTTCCTCACTCCTCCTGGAAAGTCAACATTGGCAAGTTGTTCCTCAGGCTGGCAGCCCAATACTGTTCTAAATTTTCTAATGCTATATGCTAAAATAAAAGTGGAAATCCATACCTAGGAAAACATTAAACTTTCATTAATTCAGTTCCAGCATCACTTACCAGGTATGAGACCACAAACAGGTCACTTGGACCCAATCCAAGATTCATATATTCATGAAAACAAGCAGTATGTGTGTGTGTGTGTGTGTATGTGTCTGTGCCAGCACTGTTTGAGGGATATAGCAGTGCCTGTGACAACAAGGATTCTGTTTTCAAGGAGTTTATGGAGAAAGGAGATGCCAGACACACACAATAAAAAATGAGAAAATATCAAGGATAAAAATAGAACCCAGTGATGAGAGAGAGATGGAACAGGAATTACTTTATAACCGGAGGTGGGGGTAGGCCTCTCTACAGAGTTTGCCTTTTTCAGGGCAGATCTGAATTTATCGACCAAGTATGTGTGTGCACCAGGGGAAGAAGCAGAAACAGAACATTCGAGACAGATAGGACATCAGTGCCCTGAGGCTGGAACAAATTTACTGTATCAGATGGACCAGCGCGAGGGCTCGGTGGCTAAGCATGTTTAGCAAAAATGTAAGGTGAGAATATCGTGGTGGATAGGGCCAGATCAGGGAGGATCGTGTGAGCCAGTGCAAGGACTTGGAATTTTATGCAAAGAACAATAAGAAAGGATATAACGTCTGAGAGTGAGAGGGTATAAATGAAACAAGACTGGCCACACACGAGTTGACAATTCCTGGAGCAACTGGTGAACTCATTGGTGGGGCTCATTATAAAAATCTCTTACTTTTGTATATTTTTACAATTTTCTGCCAAATAAATTTTACCAGTATGAGATGATTCTAAGCAATCGAGTAACATATTCTGATTGACTTTTTGTTTTTTTCAAAGTAATTGACTTCGGCATGGAGAGGGGCTAGACGTGGTGTCCCCTGGTGTACTCTTCAGTGTCCCCACGTCCTAATGTAACTCGCCAAATCTGGTTAGCAGACTCCATGGAGCAAGATCATTCATGGGGGCAGGAAACCATGGGTCTTTAAAAAAAAAAAATTACCTGTGATTTAAATTTTTTTGTTCTTTATTGATTTTTAGAGAGAGAGGAAGGTAGAGGGAGAGAGAGACAGAAACATAGATGAGAGAGAACATCGATTGGCCGCCTCCGCATGCCCCCTACTGGGTATCGGGCCCACAACCTGAACCTGTGCCCTGACTGGGAATGGAATTGGCGACCTCCTGGTGCATGGGTCTATGTTCAAACACTGAGCTACACCCTCTGGGCAAAAAATTTATCTGTGATTTAAAAGGGCAAAGTGAATGTGATGTAGTGGAGAAAACAGTGGGCTGGCAATCAGGAGAATTAGATCTGGACAGCCAACTTGATCTCTTTGAACCTCAGTTTCCTTATTTGCTCAGTGCAGCAACAGTGCGACCTGTCTTCACAGGGGGTTGTAAGAATTAAGAGATGGGGAAAGGACTGTATAAAACCATGGAGGGTTGCACAGACATAATGGGTTATTACCTTGGATGTCTTCCTATTGTAACTACCACTAGTACTGCGAATAGTCCTACTGGTACCAATATGTTTTTAGTTTTCTAAAGGGTTTCATAGAGTATGGTCGCTGGACTGAGAACAGAGGCTATGACTTTGGCAGAGCAGCAGTTAAGAAGAATGCTCTACCACACTTAAAAGAACACCTAAGCAGAGTCCAAGGGCTCTGGTTGAATTGGCGAAATTCCAGAAGCTCAAGAATGCCACCTGTGTGTGCGCGTGTGTGTGTGCAGGCTTGTTCTTCTCACTGTAATACACACACACACACACACACACACACACTGATTTCCAGGAGTTGGAGGATAGTTTATTAAGTGTTTCTGGGCAACACTCCTTCCAAAGAATTCCCAGCATGTTTGAGCCACTACCTTGGAAACCCTTAACACCTACTGAAAGGTAGGGGAGTACAATTATTTCTGAGCTATAAGAACAGAGTCAGAAATCTCGCCTGTGTCTCATGACTATGTTCTAGTGCTCTGCTCTTTTAAATACAGTGCTCCAAGGGAACCACACTTGTTTTTCTCCCCAGGCCATTCTGTCATTTAGTTTGGGGTTTAGATCAAGGTTTTGGTTTCTTCTGATGCAACACCCTTACACACACAGAGGAAAACTTAAGGAAAAGTGTGAAGTTGATAGAGCCCCATACCCCAGATCATACACATTTAGTTGATGCGATGCCGAGGGCAGTGTTTGACCATAGAGAACTGAGCCTCTTACACGAGGTGAAAAATGCTGGCATTGGAGACACAGCTTGTGTTGGTATCCCTGCTATACCACATACACACTGTGTAACCATGGGCAGGTCACCTAACTAAGGTCCGTCTCCTCATTTGTGAAATAAAAATAATAGCTGCTTTGTAGAATTGATGAAAGGATTAAATGTATGAAAAGCACTTAGCACAGTTTCTAGGATGAAGCAAGGGTTCAAAAATGCTGAGGAATTATTGTTGTGGTTATAGGCTGGTAGGAAATGTTGTAAATTATCTCATCTAACTTCTCTTTAACGAACTCAGTGGCCCCCAACTGGGGGTGATTTGGTAATGTCTGGAGACCATTCTGGTTGTCACAAGTGGGGAATGCTACAGACACCTCATGGGCAAAGGCCAGGGATGCCGCTACACATCCTACAAGGCACAGGAGGGCTCTTCACAAGGAATTACCCAACCCAAATGTCAACAGTAATGGTTTGGCTCAGCAGTTAGAGCATTGGTCTGAGGACTGAAGAGTAGAGGGTTCAATTCCCAGTCAAGGGCACGTACCCCGGTTGCAGATTCAATCATTGGTCCTGGTTGGGGTCATGCAGGAGGCAGCCAATCAATGCATCTCTTTCACATCAATGTTTTCTCTCTCTCTTTCTCCCTCCCACACTCCCTCCCACTGTATCTAAAGATCACTGGGAAAATATCCTCAGTGAGGATTTAAAAGAACAGTACTGAGGTTGAGAAACCCTGGAAACTAACAATGTGCCATTTATAATCTATTGAAACCATATAACAACTTTAATTGCTCAGATCTGGGAAAGAATTTTGCATGTACTATTTTGGGATCTAAAAGTCTAAAGTGTGTTTCCATTGTGAGAAGAGAAGCAGCATTCATGTTTAGCCTCAGTAATCTCTGGTCATGACCAAGTCACCCTTGGTGACTAATAATTGACAGTGCTCATCAGAGAACATACAGCCCTTCTTCCTGCCATGGGGGGACCATTTATGACAGTAATTCCTTACCTGAGCGAAATGAGTTCTTAAGGTCCACTGCACCTTTAGCCCTGTTTGCTGAGTTCTACTGAGATTTTAGTTTAGAGGAACAATTTTCACCCTTTCCCATCTCACAGCACACATAAACTCATTACTAAAATTCTGTGGCACAATAAAAAATATATTTTTTTGCCCATCTGACCAAAAAAAAAAAAATAGGTATGATTTTGATTCATTTACAATGGACAGCTGTTGTGTTGGCTGTTGTCATTTTTTTAATTTGAAAATCTAAGGGAAAAAAGGTCAGTGCCCCTGACTAAATAGTCAGGTATTGTATGTTTTAAAAATTCTCAAGGTTCACCCTGGCCGTTTTTCTCAGTGGTTAGAGCATCAGCCCATGGATCAAATAGTTTCAGGTTCAATTCTTGCCAAGGGCACATAACTCGGTTGCAGTTCGTCCATGGCCTTGGTCAGTGTCGTGCAGGAGGCAACCAATCGATGTGCCCCTATCACATCAATGTTTCTCTCTCTCCCTCCAGCCCCCCTTACTCTATCTGAAGATATTTGAGAAAATATCCTCGGGGGAGGATTAAAAAAAAAATTCTCAAGTTTGACCTGTGTGTCACAGAACACTGGTTGAAAATTGCTGGTTTAGCCCTGGCCAGTTTGGCTCAGCGGTTAGAGTGTCGGCCTGCAGTCCAGAGAGACCTGGGTTCAGTTCCCGCTAAGGGCATGTACCTCGGTTGCAGTTTGTCCTCGGCCCTGGTTGGTTGTGCAGGTGGCAGCCACACGATGTGTCCCTTTCACGTCGATGTTTCTCTTTCTCTCTTCCTCTCTCTCTCTCCCTCCCACTCTGTCTGAACAAAAAATAGAAAAATGTCCTCGGGTGAGGATAAAAAAAAAAAAAAAAGAAAAGAAAATTGCTCGTTTAACCCAGCCAGTGTGGCTCAGTGGTTGAGCATCGACCCATGCACCAAGAGGTCTCCAGTTCAATTGCCCGTCAGGGCACATGCCCAGGTTTTGGGCCAGATCCCATGTAGGGGGTGTGCAGGAGGCGGACAATCCATGTTCTCTCTCACTGAAGTCTCTGTCTCTCTCCCTCTCCCTTCCTCTCTCTCTAAAGTCACTAAAGAAAAATTATAAAAAAGAGAATCACTGGTTTAGGGGGCCAAGAGATCAGTTTTCTTCAGACACCAGAGGTAGAACCCAGGCCTTAGAATCCTCCCTCACTATCCTGGACTCCCATCTCGAAGATGGCTCAAGTTTTGAGACTTTTTCTTATTCAGTGTCTACTGAACGATTTTACAGAATTCCAAAAGAGCGGCCTCCTGGCTTTCTTTTCTTTCTGTATTTATTTTTTATCCTCACCTGAGGACATTTTTCCATTTTTTGTTCAGATAGAGTGGGAGGGAGAGAGAGGAAGATAGAGAGAGAGAGATACATCGACGTGAAAGGGACACATCGAGTGGCTGCCACCCGCACGACCAACCAGGGCCGGGGACAAACTGCAACCGAGGTACATGCCCTTAGCGGGAACTGAACTCAGGTCTCTCTGGACCACAGGCTGATGATGCTCTAACCGCTGAGCCAAACTGGCCAGGGCCTGGCTTTCTTTTCAACGGAGCATCTTAGCCAGGTGGTACAAGTAAAAAGTGCAGGAAATCTCAGATAATGCAATAAATAGATTTGCTGACATCAGTGTAGGCTTCGCCTTGTACTTCTTGAGTGTTTTTCTTGCCCTCTCTTTTGCTTATAAAATAGTTTGTGTTCGGCTTGGTATACTGCTCGGAAAGCATATGATAATCGAAGAACCAGTGTTTCAAAAGTTCAGGCTGCTCTCCTCAAAGAGTAAACTGGGCAATCAAAATAGCATGACACGTATACACATCCAAAGTATGTCCTTAAAGTATTGAGAATTCGTTTTTCTCCTCCCCCTACCACAATTCCTTTACCCCCTACCTCCTAAAAACCAACAAATCATTGGCTCAAAATGGTTGCAGGTTCTATGTAGCATTTCATAGCCACTATTTTATTAAAGGCAAAAAAATTTAACATCATTATTACTGTAACTACAATTCAGGAATACTTCTCATCAGTTTGTCTGCAATACGGTGATCTTATTATGCTTTGTATTCCTTCTTGTCCTGTTCAGTGTACAAACTAGTCTCCATGTGCAGATAACCTGCCACCTAATGGCTAATCATCTTGTTATATGCATTACCTAAAACACAAGAAAAGTGTTTGTAACCTTAGAACAGTGGTTCTTACCCTAAGAATTACCTGGGGAGGTTTTTAAAATCCTGATGTGATGCCCTGGTCAAATTCCAAACTAATTAAAACAATATTACTAGGGGTGGGTCCATCCTCAGAATTTTTTTTAACTCCAGATGATTTCATGAGCAACCAAGGCTAAAATTTGTAACATTGCTGTCTTCATCTATTTTCAGGTTTTTAGGCATGGAGACCGAAGTCCCATTGAAACCTTTCCTAATGACCCCATTAAAGAATCCTCATGGCCACAAGGTTTTGGTCAGCTCACTCAGGTTGGTTGGATTTTTAGCTAAAGTTGGTGATAAGTCTCAAGGGAAACTAAACATTGTGGGGTTTGTAATCTACCGAAGCCATGTAACTGCTTTAGTTACTCAGATCCGGGGAAGTGTTTTTCACAATCACCTGGGATCTAAAAAGTCCAAAATGTGTTTTGATTGTGGAACTAGAGGAACTAACGGTAACTGTAGGAAAAGTGTATAGAATTGCCTGTTTTGGTCTTTGGTACCCTCTGGATTTTATTAAAGCATGAGGTATGCATGAACAACAGAAGAAGACAGGAGTTGAGAGATGCTGAGGTGTTTCCAGCCCCTGTGTTTCTCAGCCCCACCTGAGAAAGTAGAAAATAATCTTGTAATCAAAAAGCTGAGTCAACAGGGTTGAGAGAACATGATTCCCCTGGAAGTGCTGATACCAAATTTGATTTCTTGTCAGCTGGATATGTTGGGATTGAGCCTTCCTTATAAGTGGTTACTTACACACAGGAAGCCCTGCTTCCTACAGAGCACCAAAGGAGAAGGTGAATGGGGGAACAAAGGCAAACACAGTCTCAGCTCCAGTGCCCCATGCCGTTTACTTGTAAGAGTGGACGGCTCTTCTGTTTGGAGCCCTAAGGCCAGGTGTATCGCTTCTGTCCTGACCAAAGCACTGTTGAAATATATTGAGGAGATGTCAAAGAATGTTTAGAGTTGGATCTCTTCAACACGAATGGGTCTTAATCTTGGCCAAACATTGGAATTCTGACTTCAGGTTGCCTCCACGTTACACAGACAGACCTGAAGTAGATCTGGGAGGATGAGGATGTTAATGTTACCACAATGGGAAGCGGTCACTTCTCAACTGAACTGGACCAGCAGGTGTAGCATTTTGTACCAATGAACAACTTTTCCCTTGCTCTGAAGAGTTTTAAAAAGTATTGATGTCACCCTGGCCACTGTGGCTCAGTTAGTTGGAGTGTTGTCCCATGTACTAAAAGGTGGCCGGTTCAATTTCTGGTCAGGGCACATACCCAGGTTTTGGGTTCAATTCCCAGTTGGGGTGCATAATCCTCTCTCTCTCTCTCTTCCTCTCTCTAAAATAAAATAAAATGTATTGATGTCTGCCTGAGAGATTCTTATTTAATTGGCCTAGAGTGTGGCCTGGATATTGGGATTTTGAGATCAGTTTACTCTAATGTGCAACCAAAGCTGAGAATGACTGCCCTAAACCAACTACAATGTTTAATAGGGGAGGAAACGTCTTCTGGCTCCTGGGTCAGACCTCTTCCCACCATAGCCTAACCAACTTGTGGCTTCTCGAATAAGAGATGTTACAACAATTCAGGACCACTTCTTAATAGCTATGGTTCTATATAGACTCCTGTTCCCTTGCTGTGCTTTTCCAGTAAGACCAAAAGATATTTGGAGACTGTGGGATCTGTCTTCTTCATCTGAGAGTTTCTTGACAAACCATCAGATTCTCCTACAGCAGTGTTTCTCAAGCTTCCAAGTGCAAAGGAATCATTTAGAGATCTTGTTAAAATGCAGATTCTAATTACTCAGGTCTGACATGGGACCTGGGATTCTGCATTTCTAACTTACTTCCAGGTGATACCAATGGTGTTGGTACATGGACACTCTTGAAGTAGCAGGTTCTCGAGTGAAAATCTTGCCCTTGACCAGGGACTTCCAATCTATATAAAGACAAGTGATGGCTTTATAGATCAGTGGTTCTCAAAGCGTGGTTCCTGGATGAGCAACATCACTAACCTGGGAACTTGATAGAACTATAAATTCTTTAGCCCCACCTGCTAAACCAGAAACTCTGGGCTGGAAGCCCGTGAATCTTTGTTTTCATGAATCCTCCAGGTGATTCTGTGCATGGTAAAGTCTGAAACCATTGCCCCATAGAAAATGACTATTTCCTCAAAAGTCAGTAGTAAGTTAGAACAACAATTCGACCCATAGTACCAGCTTATTCAGCTACCCACCTTATCCAGGAAACTCACAAACCTCAACCCATACATTACTCCTTTTCCACCTTCTTCCACATTCTAGAAGGGTGGTGATGATCGTGGTTGGCCAGGAGTGACAAGTAAATGAGCAAGTGGGTCCAAGCAGAAGCCAACGTGACCACATCCTCTTTGACTCCTGAAGCTCCGAGAAAGCTCTGAATTAGAGACAGAGTTGAATGCAGTGTTTCTCAAAGCATGGTGCTCTACTGCATGGATCTGAATCCCGCAGAGCACTTGTTTAAATGCAGATTCCAGGGCTACACCCAGGATTTAATGAGCAGAAATCTCTGGGGAAAATGCTGAGGAATCTGCATTTAAGAAGCATTCCTAGATAAATTTTGCTTCTGATGCACAGTAATGCTTGGGGATCATTAAGCTAAAGTAATGCTTCTTAATGATTACTGGCCATCAGAATCACAGTGAACTTGTTAAAAAACATTCCTCAGCTCATCTCCAAAGTAGGTGGGGCCCAAGAATTTGGTTTCTAACGTACTCCTAAGATGCTAATACTCCTGATCCACAGGCAATACTTTGAGTAATGGGCTCTAGTTTTTTCATGCACCAGGCATAAATAAACGGTACAAATAATAAAATATTGCACCCAGAGGTTTAAAGTGACCTTCAGATTCATCAAATCCAACCTCTTAACAGATGGTGGAATTTCTTCCACCAACCTCCTAAGTGGTCAATGAGCCCTCTGAATGTTCTGCTAGCAAAGATCACCACTGAATGCTCTACTACACCAGAGATAAATTATTTATATAAACCAGATTCATCACCAACTATTAACTATGCAAGGCTTTATGTTAAGTGCTAATGAAGGTAAAGAGTTTTCTCAGGGAGTCATGACTAAAAATTACAGCTTCTTGTTTTCATATTAAAATGTGTTGTTGTTGTTGTTGTGGAACTATTAACATTGTTCATTCATTTAATGAGGAGAGATGAGGTACATCTATAAGAGTCACAGGACTTACTTTCAGTAATGTTTGCTTTTCTTTCCCTCCAGCTGGGCATGGAGCAGCATTATGAACTTGGACAGTATATAAGGAAAAGATATGGAAAGTTCTTGAATGAGTCCTATAAACATCCACAGGCAAGTTGGGGAGCTAAAAGTAGGAACCTTGTCCCTCTGAAAAAATTTAACATGATCTTGCATTTCTAAGAGTTTTGCCTGTTTCCCAAGGAATTTATGCAAGTCAGATGTCTTGTTTAGAAATGTACTCTTTATGCAAATATTTTGTTCCTAAAAAATTATGAATATGAGTAAGTTCAAAACTTTATGGACACCTATGATAACTACTTTAGCTTGGCATGTAATGGCAAGTAGCCACCACTCAATTAGTCTCTTGTTAATTCAACTATTGGCATACCAGTTGTTTCATAGCATGTTGTGCTCATAATACTCTCTCTTCCATAATAGATATAATGATGATGATGCTATCACAATGTCGGCTACTATTTTGGTGTGGGTATCCTGTCCTTTCTCAGATATTAGCTGCACAGGAAAAAAACACAGTTCCTCAGTTGGATTCTGCTTTGATTTTCCTACTCTAGATTTATGTTCGAAGCACAGACATTGACCGGACTTTGATGAGTGCTATGACAAACCTTGCAGCCCTGTTTCCCCCGGAGGGTACCAGCATCTGGAACCCCAACCTCCCCTGGCAGCCCATCCCGGTGCACACAGTCCCTCTTTCTGAAGATCGGGTCAGTATTCTGGGAACACCAGGAGAGTCTATTGGGGCTGGAAGGAAGAAGGCAGGTTTCTCAGTACTTGTGGATTTGGGAGTCTGGACTTTCCTTGAGCTGTGCAGACTTCTTTCCTAAATAAATGTGTAAAGGATAATGTAGGATGTGGAAATCCCAAGGCAAGAGAGAGTGGGAACAGAATTTCTCTTTGGATCTTTATCATCTATTTTGCTTTGCCACTCTTTTCAACTTTGGGCAATCTGTCCCTGTCTGTCTTCACACACACACACACACACACACACACACACACACACACACACGGATCCCAGTGTTCGGCCTTTTCCTCCCATTTCTAGGTAGGAAAAAACAGAAAGAGTTGAGTATATAATCAGTACCCAACACTCTACATGTATCATTGCATTTACCTTTCCTAACAACTTTGAATGGACAATCTTATTTTTCTCCTTTGATAGCCAGGGAAATAAGTGCTTAGAGAAGTTAAACAAAATGGACCCAAAGTCACACAACTGGTAAGCATCACCACTGGAACCAGGCAATTCCAGAGCACCTTTCTTCTCTCTAAACTCATGGTTCTCGAACTTAGCTGCATATCAGAATCACCTGATGATTTCTTTAAACTCCTGATGCCCAGGGTGCTCTCCATAACAAAGCAGAATCTCTGGCATCACTGTTTCTTAAATAATCTCCCTGAGTGATTCCGGCGGACAGCCAAGTCTGAGAACTAGTACTGTGACGCAAGCTGCTTTGAGAGGAATTCTCAAATTTATTTACACTAGGTGGGACTGATTAAGAACTCTTCAACCTTTTCAGAAGAATTGCTAATTTTTTTTAATTGCTATTTTTTAATAGTAATAAATCAATCTAACTAATCTCCCAGGCGTAGAATTTAAGATTATATGAAGGGACAAGAAATCTTTCTAATTCCCCTGCAGCCACATTAAAAGCATGACCATCTCATCTCTCTATGGCTGAGGCTTGGCGTGACCAGTGGACCCAGACTGTTCCCCAGTGACCCCTGGGGTAGGTTACTATCCTCTTTGCCTTGCTGATGCTCCTAGAAGTTTGACTTAATTGCTGCATCTGGTGACTTGAAAATTTTTCCCAAAATGCTCTGTAGAAGCAATCCAACCCTGTCAACCTCACTCTAGGTAAATCTACTCCAACCAATTTTTCTGCTGTTTCCTAAAAAGACAGGGTTATTTATTTATGCCTCTTTCCATCACATAATCAGGAATGAAGTATGATGATTATCAGTGTTCTTAGGAGTTTGTGAATATATTCTTCCAAAAAGAAAAAGAAAGTCACTTTTAATACAACCTTTTCTGCTTAAAGACTGGACAGCATCCCCAAATTTAGCCACGGTGAACCAAGGTAGCTGTTAAACCCTGAATTCTGAAAGATAGTAATGAAATTAAATAGGAAAGGGAATACAGGTGCTATTAGAAGAGGAAGAAGAAGAAAAAGAAAAAGAAACAACAGGGAGAATGAGGGAGAAGAAGAGAGAAACGGGTGAGATGATCTACCTGTGGCTTCCAGCTCCCTGCTCACTCAGAGGAAAACAGTTCTCTAACGCCAACTAAGAAATCTAATAAAATCAATCAGTCAACACAAAGTAATTCCCAGAGCTGTGCTAAATGCCATAGAGAAATATGAGGCCAGGTTTTTTTATTCATTTATAATCCATTTTATGAAAAAAGATTTGCGTGTGTGAAATGTGCCGACTACAATACAAGATGGTGAGCAGTGATTTCAAATACAAGCTCTATGTGCTGAAGGAATTCAGAGAATGAGATGTACATGGAGCTACCAAGGGGCAGTTCATCATTCACTCAAGTCTTCATGGAGAGAGTGAGAACTGGACGCAGACCTGGAGGAGGGGTAGGAAAGAGAGGAAGGCAGCCGGAACGCATGGCTGCGAGCAAATATAGATTACTTCTGTCATATTTAGAAATAATGACACTATGTTGGGTAAAGATTAGAGAATCCACATTTAATAGCCAGAAGGAATCGTGAGGCTGAAAGACAGTGGCCTGTAAAAGGAGGGCTAGATTGAAGCTGGGAAAACCTAGGTCTGAGAGCCAGCTTCTTCAGACACTTGGCCTTGAGTAACCTCCCTGCACCTCAGTTTCCGTTTCTGTAAAATGGGAACAACAGTACCCACCTAACTTCTTCACAGTGATTTAAGAAAACCAAGTTAGTGAAGAAATGGAAAAAATTTTTGTAAAATGCAAAATGCTGGATGGGTGTTTAGGTATTATTCTATATGTTTTCAGCCTGATTCTTTCAATATGTGGAATGAGGAAACTAAAGTCTAGAAAGGTGAAATCATTCATTAAAACCAACACCTTAAAGTGAACTGTCCCGTGCTTTTTCCCTCAACAGTGTCACTTCTAACTGTGGAAAAACTTGAAAGCCATGCAAGGGAATTCAGATGTAAAGCAGTAGATATAAAAGTTCATCTTCTTCAGAATGTCAGCTGTGATTGAAAAATAAAATTACATGAAAAAAATTTTAAAGCATGCCTTCTTCAGTACCACACACACACACGACGAGTGGCGCTTTGGGGCATTTGTCTCAAAGATACTGAAAAAGATACTGGAGCCTCTAAGACTAACTGTTGAAGCAATTCAGCAATAAAGACATGAAGCTGAAATTACATGATAAAGACTGTAGGGGAAGGAAAGACAGGTAAGACAAGTGAAACACAGAATCAGAAAGGACAGGCAGGAAGCAACTTATCTTTTTTTAAAAAATATTTTCACAGTAGCTACTAATAAGCCAGGCGCTGTTCCAGGCATTGACAACACAGCAGTGGACAAGATCATCAAGATCCTGGTTGTCCTCGAGTTTATATTTTATAGGAAATAGATAATAAGGAAATATAAAATAATTTCAGATGGCAACGAGCTCCCAGAAGGAAATAAAGCAAAGCAATGCAGTGGTGGCTGGGGTGGGATGATCAGAAAATCCAGGGTGGGAGTCAGTGGGGGGTGGGTGTCGCAAGCAGGGAACAATCTTCAGAGAACTCAAGCCTGGTGTTCAAGGGACAGCAAGAAGGTGCCCATGTGGCTGGGGAGGAGTGAGAAAGGACAGCAACCGGAAAGCCAGGCCGAGCAGCCACCAGCGGCTAACGATGGTTTGGGTTTTGTTCCAAGAAAGATGGAAAGTCAATGAAGGTTATAAACCACAGAATGGCATGATCTGACTGAGCCTTTAAAATGATTCGTGTTTACAAAAATAAAATAAAAAGGATTTAGTGGAGCTGCTCCTGCAGAATGAAATGTGACCAAACAGCCCTCAGAGTGGTTGAAACACAGGTAGGGTGATTTGGACTGGAAAGGGACAATGATGATCAAGAAAAGGGTCTCTTCTGGAAGTATTTTGAAATCAGCAAGCAGAAGTGATGCGTCTCTAAAGCAGGTGATAAATTTTGCCATTGGCAGAAGTAGAGAGATCGCAAGGAGGAAATGGTTAAAAATGAAGAAGTTGAGTTCAGCCTTGTACATATTATATTTGAGGAAGAAGAGAATCATCCAAGTAGTGACATCCACCGAGGCTGAAGATGCAGGACTAGCCATAGAAAGAGCAACGTAATAAACTCAGGACCCACCAACCTGTAGCTTATAGTTACAAAAGATCATTGGATTTGAACTCATTTAGCATGATCGCTTTGTCCTCGTAATAGGTCATTAAATATATTTTCTATTGTGCCCTTATTTTAATATCTGCAAATTTGCAAGAATTAAGTCAATGAATGGTTAATTGATCTCTCAAGATTCTTTCCAGAACCTCTAATTCATTTCTCTGTACTCATGTACATCCAGAAATAAAACGGGTAGGGAAGAAAGCAAGATAGTGGTTATTATTTCACATGGAAAACCAGAGGTGTGAATATTTACCAACAGCACAGAGCACAGTCCTATTTAGGCAAGGTCATAAAAAATAAAACAATAAAAAGGTTTTCGGTTCCGGGTACATATCCTACTACTTAAGACCAGCAGACCATTTACCTCTTTCCCCTCAATTTTAAAATTTCCATTCAGCTCAAAACACTTACTAAATCTCTTATTAAGATCTCTTTGCCCCTACTGTTTAAAACATGGCTGCAGCTTTCTTTAGTGAACTTCTGACTAATAAAGGTTTTATGGTTTTTCCTTTGTCCCCAGTTGCTATACCTGCCTTTCAGGAACTGCCCCCGTTTTCAAGAACTTCAGATCGAGACTTTGAAATCGGAGGAATTACAGAAGAGGCTTCATCCTTATCAGGTTAAAAAATAGAGTCATGTTGTGGTGTGCTTGAGTGTGAGGGCCAAGACAAAGGACGAAGCTGCAGCTTCTTACGAGCGCGGGTGGACGGTGTCTGCCGGTGGCTGGTTATGGCAATGAGTCAGACTGTTGTCAGACCAAGTCATCACAACTTGGTCCCCAGCGCTGTGCTGGGGCCACAAGCCAGTAAAGAAGCCAGTCCCTTTTGAATCTTTTACCCATGTCCCTGAGAGGAACCAGGAGAAAGGATGTGGCTGCCTCAGCATAAATGCAAGTCTAAAATGACCTGTATTGCCCTGGCAAGTTTGGCTCAGCGATCAGAGCATCAGCCTGCAGACCAGAGAGTCCCAGGTTCAGTTCCCGCAAAGGGCGCGTACTTTGCTTGCAGTTTGTCTCCGCCCCAGTTGGGGTCGGGTGGGTGGCAGCTACTAGATGTGTCTCTTGCATTGATGTTTCTCTCTCTTCCCCCCTCCCTCCCTCCAGCTCTATCTGAAGATAAATGCAAAAATGTCCTTGGGTGAGGATAAAAAAATAAATAAATAAAAAGATCTGTATTATTGGGAGACTGAGGGTCTGGGACTTTAAAAAATAATACTTTGAATCTGTAATACATTTCCACAGTTCCAATATATATATAAAGGAATACAGTGGAAAGTCTGTCAATGACCCCTCAAGTAACTGCTGGCAGTGTTTCCTTATGCAATCGCGTAGTTTCCTTATTCATATGCAAAGAAATATGAATATATTCTGGTAGTTTCCCCTTTTAGTAGACAAAAGTGTTATGCTGTTTACAGGATTAGACACCTGGGTTTTTTTGTCTGTTCATTTATTTTTGTTTATTTTACAAAATATTTTGGAATTACTTCTATATTTATACATAGTTTTCTCTTCTTATTTTTTATTACTGTATATCTGAATTTATGGTCATACCATAATTTATTTTACCAGTCTCTGTTGATGGAAATCTGAGTCATTTCCAATCTTTTGTTTTTACAGTCCTGAATATCTTGTGCATATAAGGAATTTCACAAGAATATCACAAAAATTTTCCCAGAAGTAAAATTCTGAAGCAATTTTAAATATTACCAACTTACCCACAAATGAGGAATACCAATTTCTACTCTTATCAGCAATGCACAAGAGTACATATTTCAAAGGCAGGAGGGGGTAGGAATGGAGAGGAGGGGGTTAATGGGGGAAAAGAGAGGGACACCTATAATACTTTCAACAATAAAGATTAAAAAAAAAAAAAAAAGAAGAATACCTATTTCTCCACAGTCTTGCCAACAGTGTGGACAACTTAGGGATATTTTCCGATCTGTTAAGTGAAAAATGGTATCTCTAGAAGCATCTCCTCTAAAATCAGGCATGAGGCAGGGAAGCACAGTATCACCACTATTATACGGCTCGTGCTGTAGTACTTCTCTCTTACGATGAGTGAGCTTTGGGTAGCTTCATCTAGTTAAATGCTATTTATTTTATAGAAATATCCTTGGGTTCATATTGGCAAACTATATTTTCCTAGCAAATTTATCCATCAGACAAACAATATCTTCCAAAGTGCTTCCCAGAAACCGCTGCTAACTTCATCAGGCAGAGAGCTGAACAGCGGGTCTCATTATCGTGACAATCTGAGAATACTACAGAACCTAGAGAAATGTTTGCATCCCATGCAAATTTCACACTTACAGCCAGATACCGGGTCCTGTTTCTGCTGCGTTGCCTGGGGTACTTTGGCCTGGGACCTGCTTTCCCTTCTCACCTTGGCCACTATGTGAGTTATATGTAACCCGCTTCCAAAAAGAACTTCCAGGCGGTGCACGTCAGTCTGATTCCAGGACAAACCAGGAGCATGTGGCTGGAAGCCAGCATTTGCTCACATTCTTAATGTAATAATGAGAAACAATCAATTAGGATTTGTGAAAATCTTTGGGTTGGCATTTTCATAGACAGTATTACTGGCACACTTTTCTGTAAAGAATAGCAGCTCTCAGTGAGGGTAAACTGCCTCACAGAGAACATTTGGCGATGTCGAGACATTTGGCTTGTCATGACTGAGAGATTAGGGATGATGCTGGCATCTAGTGGGTAGATGCCAGGGATACTGCTAAACATCCTATAAAATGTAGAGCAGCCCCTCACAACAGAGAGTTACCCAGCCCAAATGTCAGTAATGTCAACACTGAGAAACCCTGGTGGAGAAATTTATTCCCCTCTGTATGTGTTTCAGGATTTTATAGAAATGTTGCCAAAACTTTCAGGATACCGTGGCAAGGACCTTTTCGGAATTTGGAGTAGAGTCTACGACCCTTTATATTGTGAGGTAAAAGAAAAAATATATATTAAAAATTAACTTGCAATCTGATTTTGACTTATGCCTACTTTGAAATAGATTAATACATGTTCTCTTGCTTTTTTGCAGATGCATTACTTATACTTTCTTTGACATTGCAACATGATTCAAGCCTTCCATATATATATATATATGTATATATATATACACACATATATATATATTTTTTATCCTCACCCGAGGACATTTTTCCATTTTTTGTTCAGGTAGAGTGGGAGGGAAAGAGAAGGAGAGAGAGAGAGAGAGAGAGAGAGAGAGAGAGAGAGAGAGAGAGAGAGAGAGAGATGTGAAAGGGACACATCGAGTGGCTGCCATCTGCACAACCAACCAGGGCCAGGAACAAACTGCAACTGAAGTACGCACCCTTAGCGGGAACCGAACCCGGGTCTCTCAGGACCGCAGACCGACGCTCAAACCGCTGAGCCAACTGGGCAGGGCAAGCCTTCCTTATATTATACATCATATACATAAGTATATAATATATACTTATATTATATATTATACAGAAGGTCTTTATATTGAACATTCTGACTTCTTCTCACCATTATTTGCATTTTCACCCTTTAGAAAATTGCTTTTCTTCTATGCCTTTTCACTTATTTTTCAGTCACTCGGGAATGCTAGGTGCTGTCAAGGATTTTAAACTCAATATTATGGTACAGTAAGAGAAAAAAATTATCTGATTTCTGGATATAAAAACAAGCAAACCCACTTTAAGTCAGGCTATTGAAAATGGCTTATCAAGAAAGGATCTCTTCCTTGCCCTATAATGAAAACAAAGTAACTTTTGTAGCTAAATTAACTATTGAGTTTTTCAAGGACACACACACACACACACACACACACACACAGAGCGGTTCTCACTCACCATGCTCCACCTGCTGGCCAACAGGAGTATTCCACAGCCCTTGTTTCCCAACCAGTTCACTGAACTGTGGGCCAAATTCTGACCACGCACACAACTCAGATCCACTTCTGATTTTACAATCATCATGAGTGTCTGGGAGAGCAGCAATTACTTTTATAGTTCCATCTCAGTAACAGATAACACAGCTCGCCCCCCTCCATGTCAGAGTTCATTGGCCGGAGCACACACTACTTTCCCAATCGTCTTACTTTTTCATCGGCTGTTTCAAGGAAAGTATGTTAGCCTATTTATAAAACACTCTTCAGTGGAGAGAAAAGCCCACATTGTAGTTCCAGTCTTGATTTTTCTCCTTTCTTCCTTACTACACTTGGATCTGAGCTGTTCCATAATGTGGTCATGGTTGTGGTCCTTTCTCAACTCTTTCTTGTTTCCTCGCTTTTCTTCGCTCTCCTCTCTCTCTCTCTCCCTCTCCCTCTCTCCTGCCTCTGAAATTTGGGCAATCTTAATTAACTCTTCATGGCCGATAATAAATATTGGCACAAGGTCTCTACCTGCCCTGCTTCTCAGTTCAGCCATCAATTTAACAAGGATCACCAAATGCCTACGGTGTGCAAGGTGCGGGCTTTCCTGGAGAGTCCGTGAACCAGAAGCTGATGGGAGCACAGTATATTAGTAAAGGCTCTAGAACTATATTACCTTCCCAATCCATCCCCTTAGGCCACTCATTCAGCTTTTAAGGAAACATCATCTAACCCTGTCAGCTTTACCTTCCCCTCAAGTTAATAAAGAGATATCTAAACCACCTTGGCTGGTATGTCTCAGCGGTTAGAGCGTCAGCCCATGGACCAAAGAGTCGCGGGTTCGATTCCAGTCAAGGACACGTACCTCAGTTGCGGTTTGGTCCCAGCCCTGGTCGGGGTCTTGCGGGAGACAACCAGTCAAAGTATCTCTTTCACATCGATGTTTCTCTCTGTCCCCCTACTCCTCCCTCCCACTCTATCTGAAGATAAATCCTTGGGTGAGGATTAAAAAAAAATGTCTAAACCTTTCATAAACAAATAAAGTACATTCCTGCCCTACCACACCCTTATTCTGCAAAATACAAATCATTTTTTGACCCAGTGTTAGACCAAAAGCTATGGACTTGATAGGAAGGGGCAAATTAGTTTCTGCGAATTTTTCTTCTGAAAAATCAATACCACTACTGATCACAAAGTAAAGTTTTCCTAGAAAGAAATGGCAGTACAAGAAAGGCTGGACCCTTGCCCAGCCAGTGTGGCTCAGTGAATTTAGCTTTGTCTCATGGACTGAAAGGTCCCAGTTTGATTCCCAATCAGGGCACATGCCCGGGTTGTGGGCTTGATCCCTGATAGAGGGTGTGCAGGAGGCAACCAGTCGATGTGTCTCTTTCACATCCATGTTTCTATCTCTCTCCTCCTCCCTCTCTCTAAAAACATATTTAAAAACAAAAGAGAAAGGCTGGACCCAGTCGTTCTTATGGGGTGAGAGATGATGAAAAGTTAACCAAGAGGACAGTCAGAAATAAAAATACACATTTTCTCCTTTTTTCTTTGCTGCAGGGTATTCACAATTTTACTTTACCCTCCTGGACCACAGGGGACACCATGACTAAGTTGAAAGAATTATCAGAATTGGCCCTCCTATCCCTCTATGGAATTCACAAGCAGAAAGAGAAATCTAGACTGCAGGGGGGTAAGTACATTTTTGTAAAATAAGAGGTCTAAGTCCTGGTTCCATCACCAATCAGCTATGTGACCTTGGACAAGTCACTTAACCTCTGCTATATTCATTGCTATTATGCAAAATGGGATAATTATGATATTCACTTCATAGGTCATAGGGATTAAAATGAATGAATACATTCAAAAGGCTTAGCACAAACATTATCTGAACATAATATGCTTACAATAAACATTATGTGTTATTATAATTATCAGTATCACCCACTCTGGGCCTTTCCCGTCTGGAAAATGAAATCTTTGGGCTAACGCTAAATGATCCTTTTAATCCTCTTCAGGTCAAAGAATCAAAGATTTGTATCTGAGCCCCATGAAAAGCATTGCATCCAGTGGCCTGTAGGATGAATTTTTCAAGTGGATGGCAATGACAGAAGTGGCCTGTTTTCCCGAAACCCTTGGTGCTAGCAATTGCGAAAGTTAATCAAACACATTTTGCAGGCTAATTATGCCCTGTAGATTCATACCTATTGCAATTGGCAAGCTTATGACTCACCTTAAATTTTTCCACTGGTGTTAAAAAGTATATTTCTCAGTGATGCCTCTTCTCAGCTAGATATGGCCCTTCGTAGCAAAAGACATCTTATCATAATGAAGGTAGACAGGCAAGGGGATGCCAAGCCCTTAGAACCAGGATAGGTGGGTGGAAGAAAGAAGCCGGGACCAGGCAGGATGGGCATGGACACCGAGGCCTCTGAAGGCATCGGGTAGGCAGGCCAGCACACTGAAGGGTGTGTCGGGTTCAGGTGGTGGTGGTGTAGGCATTAAAACAGGACAAAGAGCAAGAGAAGGTCCATTGTGTCAGCTTGACATGACAATGAAACAATTCTATGCCACAGGAGATGTTTCGAGTCATATACTCTAGACAGTTTGAGGGAATCAGGACAATCACAACAGGACTCCAACCACGGCCAGACTCTATTCACCAGGGAGTCAGGACAAGTTCAGCAGAACCCCAGGAGAATTCACAGAGACAAAGCATCCTGGTGGTTGGACCAGACTGGGCAGAAGTTTACTCACGGCTGCATAGCTAGAGAAGGAATTTAAATCACTAGCCAGGACATGAGTCAATCATAGCTACAAAAAAGAAGGATGGAAGCTATAACCAGAACAGCTAATGAGGTATGAAGTCCAGGTGGTCAAGAGCAACTCCATACGAGGTGTCCAAAGTAGCTTGTGGCAAATACTTTAGGACTGTGGTCATTAATGACATGATCACGTTGCAGTCCTGCTGGTACAGAAGTCTTGATTGCATGGCACAGAGGCAGACCTGACAAATATACAAGTCCTTGTTCCATGCTAAGGGCATGAGCAGCAAGATCCTGCCTTTTGGGAAGGGAAGGTATCCAGAGATAAGTCTTTGATGGGATCTGGTATGTTGGGGAAATTACCAGGCAGGATACAGACTGTGTGTAAGGACAGAGCCCAGGAAGGAGCCCAATCTTACGTACTAAACAACAAAACGATGCAGAGGGTAAAAGCTGGCCTTACTGGCTATATACGCAGCCGTCCTCGAGCTCTGACCACCAGGTGTCAGCACTGACTCAATACCAAGTCCCACCAGATGGTGGAGGCAGGACTCTTGATTTCCTTCCTCCGACCTAATCATTATGGGCTGAGGAATTCAGCCTCTTGCTACTCAAAATGCAGTCCAAGGACCAGCATCCTCACCTGTCATCTGGCCAGAAATGCAGAATCTCAGGCCCCACCCCAAACCAACCAAATCAGAATCCACATTTTGAAAAAAACCCACAGGGACCTCATGTGTACATTAAAGTTTCAGAAACACTTTTTGAGATGCAAGACACAGTGAAGGAAAGAGCAGGAAGCTCCAGGCAGGAGTGGACAAGAGCCGACTGATGGATGCAGAGGTCTGGATATGAACAAAGGCAGCTCTATCCTAGCAGCTTGCTCGCGTTTCTTCTTCTTCTTTTCCTTTCGCAACTAGAGATTGTATTTCACAGAAGTGACTTCCCCTCTCTGGGTCTCAGTTTTCCCATCTGATGTGTGTATTAAACTAGATGCTGACTATTAGAGGCCTCCCTAAGGTGTCCTCTCAGTTTTGGCTGCTGAAGACCGCACTCGCGTGAAGGCACCTGCCCTCTTTTCTGGAGGAAGTCCAGTGCTGTTGAGAAGCCAGGAAATTGTTTCCAGAGTGAAACCTGCCAAAACACAAGCTCAGCCTATTGCTCTAGTCTGGCTAGGCAGGAGAGACTTGTCAGCTTCATGCTTGTCGAATGAAGACACCATCCTGCAGGGAAAACATGTATTTATTGTCTGGGTGACAAAGAGCCACATGGGAACATCAGGACTTGGACCAGCATCTTCCAACCTTGGCCAAAACATTAGGTTCTATCAGTTGATTTCAGGGGTGATGTTGTTGGGTAATATCCTCCCCCAAACCCCCTACTACACACACTCCAAGAAAATCCTTACAGTTCATTTAGAAGCTGCTTTTTTTTTAACCTAGCTGCTGAGCTCCCTGTGGCATCATTTATTAAATCTGCATAAACTAGACAGAATGCCACTGATTGGAAGACATAAATGTCACTTCCCTCACTCTTGGGCCACAGCACAGATTAGCAAACTCTAGCAGGTCACCTCCCTCTATACACACCAAGAAAATCCTTACAGTTCATTTAGAACTATATGGCTGGTCATATTCATATGAATGGAAACCTGTTTGCTCTAGACCCGGGGTTGACTACACCCTGCCTTCTAAATCCAGCCCTCCGCTGTGTGTGTGTGTGTGTGTGTGTGTGTGTGTGTGTGTGTAGGTAAAATGTTATTGAAACTCAGCCACACTCATTCTTAAATCGCTTCTATGGCTGCCTTTGTGCGTCCACCCAAGAGTGAACAGTTGTGACAGACCATATGGACCACAAAGCCTAAAACACCTACTATCTGGCCCTTTACAGAAAAAGTTTGTCAATCCGTGCTGTGGCCCAAGAGTGAGGGAAGTGATATTCATGTCTTCCGATCAGTGGCATTCTGTCCAGTTTTTGCAGATTTAATCAATCATGCCACAGGGAGCTCAGCAGCTAGGTTATGTTGCCACACGGCCTGATGACGGAGAGCAAGGGTTTGAAGTAAGACATGCTGGGTTCAGAGCCACTCAGCCTGTGTTCAGTCCTGTAAACTTGGACAAGTCGCTGAACCTCTCTGAGTCTCCATTTCTCCTCCTATAAAACATCGTTACTGGGATGCCAGAGCTTGGGGATAATTGTGATAGTTACCCCTCGTTTCTCCAAAGGCAAGGCAGACAATCACTCCCAACCAAGAGTTAATGTCATTCCATTATCAACACTGAAGGCTACTGCAAAGCTGCCTGCTTCCAAGGGAGAAGTTGATTGAAGATGGCTGTCATGACTCACAGAAACTTGGCCTCAGGGTTTAGTACCATGGTGACCTGAAGATGAAGCTAAAGTCCCTAAAGGGGTCCCTGAAGGCAGCCTTCCCTGGGACAGAGAAATGTAGACCTATTGGAGATGTAGCATCCAGCTTCTTTCATTCTTAATCTAAGAAGTCCCAGCATCTACAGAAAGCAGGTTGCCTCCCTCTGTAATTATTCTGTATTGTGCTTATTAGTACACAGACCAACAAAGTATCTTCTTACTGTTTCATGAGTTTTTGAGGACAGGACACATGTCTGGTTCACCTAGCAAGGTATCTGGCCCACTGCAGCTGCTCAGTATGTGTCTGTTAACATTAATGCCCTGCTCAATACCAAAAACAACAACAACAACAAAATTGATAATTCTCAAGACAAGAGAGTGCATGTGTAGTACAGAGGCCGCCCACAGAGACACGAAGGGTCTTTAGGTGATGGTGACAGAAGTCCCTGAGGCACTGTCCTCAGAACAGCACCTGGCACCAGGAAGTACCCTCAGCCTTTCGTGTCTGCAAGCAGGATGGAGACTGGGTTGTGCACCTGCCTTGTACCACGTCAAGAGCAACAAATGTGGAGGGTAGAAGCTCTCATCTATGAAGACACATTAAAGCTAAAGACGCTGGATGCCCCCCTAATAGTGACACCCAGGGGAGCCTGCAGAAATGGTCCGTAGGAAACAGGCCATGAACTGGAGGACAACCAGAGAGCTGCTTTCTCTCATGGTCTCCAACAGGTCTGGCCGCCAGACAGTGGAAGTGAGAGGTGAAGGCACAGACGTGTAGGCCGTGCGCTCATCCCAGGCCGGCCCTGGAGAAGAGCATTGGCCAACAACTGTCTGGAAAAAAGCCACCTGAAATCCCTTCCAAGTTCCTCAGCCTCCTAACTTGAGCTTTAACAAAATCTGGCACCGTAGGATCCTGGCATGCCCTCCAAATCTCCTTCCCCAACTGTGTGAGTCACTGATGTCTCTGGGCCTCAACTTCCTCACCTGTAGATGGGTACAAGCCAGGCTTCAGTAAAACAATGTATGTGGATCATGCTGCTAGCACACAGCAGATGCTCAACCAAAATTAGTTCTTTCCCTCTCTTCTTAAGTCTTAAGAGTCGTGGCAGAAAAAGTCACCAAGTATTAATTAACTGAAAGATTATTAACTAAAATAGAAGGCCATGTTTGGTCCAGCTCCATGGTTGATCTGTCTTCTTCAAGGTGTCCTGGTTGGTGAAATCCTCAATCACATGAAGGGAGCAACTCAGCCAATGAACCAAAGAAAGCTGGTCATGTATTCTGCAGTGAGTATTTGTGTCTCCACTCACACTCCATTTGTTCGGGTGTGCGATCTGTTGGAGGTGGGGGCCTCGTCTTCTTGATCATCATTGCCTTGTTGCCCAGTAGATGGTAAATACTTGTTCAATCCTTTTAACATTAAATTCATAATTCTGGTCCTTGAGGAATTTGCAATCTGACACTGACAAGATGAGTATAGGCAGAAACACCATGCAAAGCTATGTAGAAACACCATTCGAGCCAGTGCTTTGGTCTCTTGGAGAAGAACAACACTCACTTCTTCTCTAAACCAGGGCATCACCAGGAGAGGACACGCTGCATGTACAGGACTTGGTGATGAAGTGGAATGTGGGTGGAGGGCAATGATGTGGGAGGTAAAGACACAGATAAAGGCAATATTTCAAGCATCCATGACTGGAAGGAAGGTGGAACCATTAACAGAAGCAGTGATGGGCCAGGTGAACGTACCAACCACATAACGCCAGGGGGCATCCGAGTAGAAAACTCCAGATGGTAAAGGGACAGGTAGAAGAGGGGAAGAGAGTTGCAGCTTGAAGTTGGAGCTGCATTTGGGTATAGAAAGAAAAGAGAGCGATCTGGGAGAAGATTTCCGTTGTGGAGCAGGGGAGACAGGGAAAGAGACACAGCTGGAGGAGAGTTTTCAGGGACCATGCCCTGAAATGCCTATCCATGGAGTCTGGGATGAGCAGGGAAACTAGACATAGTACGCTGACTCGACCTTTCACCCACTGTCTCAGAGCATCTCGCAGATGGGATTTGGCTGGAGAAAGCCATGCTTTCATTCTGCGCGAAGATGGAAGAGGTGATTGAAGATACAGGGAACTCTGTTTATCATCAGGGGTTCTAAATGGTCTAGATTAGAGAAAGAGTTCATGGAGTGGAGTGCTTCCCGGAGAGAGGAAGCCCTAAAAAGTCGATTACACCAGTTCCTCGAGGTTCTAATCTGATTTCCAGTTCCAATGTACACGACTTCTGGGAAGTCATATATCTATAACTCCATTTCTTTCTCTAGTAAACCGGTTCTAACCCCCTTTGAATATGTGTACACTGCAATATAGATTAGGCAAACAAATGTTATACCCAATTGGTGGATATGGAAGTTGAGGATTTCCTAAAATTTACATAATCAATCAGTGGCAAAACCAGTCCCCTACACCTCCCAGCCACTCTGGGGTAAACATGAACAATTATTTTTAAGCTACACCCTCTACTTCCTCACATTTTATCCTCCCTAAAGATTTATGACCTCATATATTCCTCTCAAACTTTAAAATTACACATCATTCTAAACTATACACTAGCATTAATGTGTCCCAAAATATTTTAAAATTTAATGAAAAGCAATGACACAAGCTAAAACACAGATGCTACTAGGAAAAGGCATGGAGAAAGAATCAGAAGACTTGGCTTAAATGTACTTTGTATCATTTTGGGATTATATGACATTAAGCAAGTTACTTAATTTCTCTGGGTCTGTTTCTTCATCTTTTAAATGGAAGTAAGGATATGTATGGAAATCTCACTGCCTAGCACACAGCAGACACTTAACCAAAGTTAGTTCTTCCCCTCTCTACTTCCTAAGTCACTGGGGGTACGGGAAATTTAACTGAATCACAAACCATCATGGTGCTCTACAAGTGCTGAATACAAAACTATTGAATGTAAATCTGAACCGAAAGTAAATATCAAAAATTGTTTCAAATCTCTGTAGCATGACACTACTGTGAGTGGCCTACAGGTGGCGCTAGATGTCTACAACGGAATTCTTCCTCCCTATGCTTCCTGCCACATAATGGAACTATACCTTGAGAAGGGGTAAGTGTCTAAGAGGTGCTTTTCAAAATTAATATCACTGGACCTGGAGTTTTGTCATTATTATTGCTATTGTTAGCTTAATTATTTTCTTAAAATATTTAATTTTTAGTTAGGTACATAAACTTAAAATCATATACTATGTTAAATAATTCACTAAATTGAAAATAATTGCTTTTTTCCACTTTCACATTTTATGAAACAGTTTTATCCAAACTTTTGTATGCAAAAGTTTTGTAACTTGTATCTTCATACTAGACCCAATTTTAAACCCCCTAAAACTTTTTACCAGACATATTAACTAATAAGAGTAATTTTGGCTGCTGGAGAAATGAACCTCAAGTTCTCCCACAGAGATTTATTTCTCACTCATCTGACAGTGTAGACATCCCTGGCTAGTAGGGGGTGACTCACTCACGGCGTGAACCCCACAGGATGATTCCTAGCCAGGGTTCCCCCTTTTGGACCTCTGGTTCTCCAGCGTGCTGTGCTCATCTGCTGGCAGCTTGCAGAAGGCACAGGAGGGTGGAGAAGGCAACCTGCTTACGAACCACCTCAGCCCAGAAGGGGCACATATGATTCTACTTACATTCTACTGGCGAAAATGGGCCACTTGGTCCCACGGAGCTGCAAGGGGGTCTGGGAAATGTGGTCACTTCTCAGCCATAACTCCAGTCTGTGGAAAGAGAATCACAGATTTTGAAGGATTTGACTGGTCATCTTTGCCATATCATCTTGAGATAAAAATGCTGTCTCTGGAAAAGTTGTCCCATAATATCAGTGCTCATTCACATAATATTAGGAAAGTTTTTAAAAACATATCTCATAAGTGAATACTTGTTTATATAGCTTTTTAAAGTGACGTTTTAAAAGGCTTGTTTATAACAGTATCCAGAAGGAATGATTGTAAGATTACTACCCACCCACCCTCAAAATCACTAAATCCTACTCGAATTTCTCTCCGGCCACTTTGGCAAATGACTTCAACAAGCACCTCATACTAGCTTTATTGAGATTGGTTTAGGCCCATGGACCTTCCTCAAATGGTACGTTGTTTTTTTAAATCAAGTACGGAGAGAGCCCTCTTTCATATGAGAGAATGTATCCCCACTCCCTCTTTCTGAGGTATAATTCTGATAAAGTGTCTGCTGTACATTTTAGCACATATGTTGTGTATCATTCAGTTCAATGTTTATGGCCTGGTTATGGAGAGGGGAGAGAGATTCACTCAGAAGAAAGACTGAAAAATACTGGGAGATGAAAAGAGAGAAAAGGAAGGAGCAAATGAGAAGCATAAAAGAAAAAGAATTGGAGAAAGAAACCCCAACACCCCACCTGTCCCCCAATTCTTACTCAAAGGCTCATCAAATCACCCCCAACTCCTCCATCCATGGCCTTTCAGCCGCTTCTCTGATTAAATGTCCTGGTCCCCACCTCCTATGCCCCTGATTATCTAACAAACCAGACCCAAACCCCATTTCCACCCTCCAGATTGGGCCCAACTGCCCCAACCTCCCCATTCCCACCCGTAAATCGGTAAAAATCTACTCATTCCCATAAATTCTGCTACTAGTCCCTCAGCGGATGGGTTACAGGCCAAGTAGAAAGAAATTCAGTGGCAGTTCAACAACAGAACTAACAGCTCTCTCCTCTACCTTCCTCCACCAGGGAGTACTTCATAGAAATGTTCTATCGGAATGAGACTCACCATGAGCCATATCCCCTCACGCTGCCAGGCTGCACCCCCAGCTGTCCTCTGACGAAGTTTGCTACACTCGTTAGCTCTGTGATCCCCCAAGACTGGTCCACAGAGTGTATGACCACGAGCAAACATCAAGGTACTTAGGATGTTGGATAAGGGTGTACGCAGAGCCCTGCAGAAAGGGCAGAACACCCTTTCTTAGGGTGGATGTTGCTTTGAGAATGTAACTTGGCCATTACCCCAGATTTAAAAGAAATAAGTTTTGGGTGATAATTATATGTTTCAGGGACCCCAATTTCAGGCAAATCCTACCTCTCCACCTGGCCCTGCCCTCACTTACCATAAACCTTGACTTGATTTTTTTCAATGTTAACATAAAAGGGCATCAATGCCAAAATATAATCAGAGATGAAACTTCGATCCAAGTTCATGGGACTGCCATGAGCTTCATGATTGGCCACATAGGACCTTTTGTTGTTTACAGATTTCAAGATTTTATTTGAACAGAATTAAATTGAGGCTGTTCTTTAGTGTCTGAAGTGGAAAAGATTTCAATCAAATCCACAATCTCAGTAACAACAAAGATGGGAAGACTTTAATCCTAGACTAATGGGCAAAGAACCAACTTACCCATTACTTCCAGATTTCTCCCAGGAAGCGAAGAAATGAGGTACCATAGAGAGATCTGGAGAATTCATCTACACCAGGAAACTGATCCTATCTTTTAATATTTCTGTTAAAACATATTGAGTGGCAGAGCTGAAAAAATCAATACCTCCTTGTATCCTTTGGCCCTGAAAAATTCATGCTACCTTTGAAGAAATCAAAAACAAACTTGCCAGAAAACTTTGGTGTACATAGTACACCTGGCATCTCTTGGAGTACATACATCATAAAAAATAAATAATTTGATGAGAACAAGATATTCAGACCCAGCATATCGAGATGAGAGCCCTGCAGAGTGGAGCTGCTCTTGAAGCTCCAACGGTCAGAGATGTTGAATGTGAAGTTGATGTAAGAGAGAAAGTATGGTGACCATTTCAAACTGGAGCGAAATTAGAAATGTCAGAATGTCCTGAATGCCTCCAAGATCAAAATTTATTGGAATGTCGAAAGTGTGGCTATCATATCTGTTCTGGAGACAAAAGCGGTGCGTAAGGCTTTGGTCCTGGTATCTTCAGAAAACCCAAGCACTCACAGGTCCTGCTGAAACCACTCACTCTATAAGAAGAAATTATGTCAAATGATGACTCTCTGGAGTCCTGTCAATTTGCCACATGGCGGATGCAATACATCTAGAGAACAACGTGCTACGTTACCCTTACAGCTAAAGATGAAATGTTTTCTAGAGATGGTTTCTACCGGGTACCAGAGTCTAGAGCAAAGCCATTCCCTGTCCCCGTTGGCCATGGGATTACTGGCATGAGGTACTGATTGATGTGTTTATTTGTATTATTTCTTGCCCAGGTAAATACTTGGCCTTGGGGCCATCATCTAATTATTCTTCCTCCTTCATGCATGTAACTTTCCTCCAGAATTGAGCCAAATGTAAAATAGTGAATAAAATCACTACTAGGAAATTCAATGCCATTACTTTCATATAATGAATTTTGAAAAGTGTATATGTTTAAGTATAATAAAATTCCTGAAGGACAGATTTTAGGGACTCTTTTTGTTTTGGGGTTTTATTTTAATGTAACAGGAAGAAAAAGATATAAAGTGAAATGATTTGACTGGCTTAAATGAACATTTTACATTGAAAATGTATTTCGTTTGGACATTACTACTTCGGATACGCTGATGGATGGCTCTGCTTCATCTATTTAAAATAAAACTTACTATACACAGTATATAATAGAACAGGGGTACATTTTGAACAGCAGTAACATGCAATGATTTGGTTATAGAAATGTTATGAAAGAATGTGTAGTCTTCCAGAACTACATTATGATCTTTGTCTGATCATATTTTTTTTTCCTTCATAATGGCAAGGCAGTGTTTACTTATTACATATTGTAGTAAATGGATATTATCTGTGACAGTATAAAGAAAGGGAATCCTTTCTGAGAAGACCGCAATTTTCTTCTTGAATTTTAAGTGGTAATTTTGGAACTCAGTTGCCAATCCCAACCTATGACCTCAAATATGTGATTTTTAATATAGATATTAAAATTGTACTTGTATGATTGGATAAATGTTGATTTTCCTAACTTGGTGTCAGTTTCAGAGGATAAGTCTCTTAGATGCCATAATTAAATGTGTGTTCAGAGCTGATCATAAGTTTATAAATCTTAATTATTCTAGAGTATTGTTCTAGAGATATTTATTATGCTGTTCTTAGGGAAATTCCAAATATCAAAACACCACAGGGTATCTTGACACAGCATAATGGCGATGGTGAGAGGAAATGCATGTGCCTGAGACATTGACTTCAAATTCAGTGTTTCTCACTGCTCATTCTCCCCCTCCCCCGGGAAGCCTTTTTAGAGTTTTCTAATAGCACCCCAATAAGTTTTGTTATAGATAAAAAAAATAAAATAAAACGTGCTAAGAAAACATCCTTGGGCTATTTACAATATAGTGGGAAGTAAAGAGATACATATTACACAGAATAACTAGGGTTTATGTCTTATGACTACAAGTTGCTATGGACTCAGAAGGAGAAAGGTAGTAAGGAATGTCAAGGAAGGCTTCTTGCAAGAAATGGAAACTGATTCCATCTGAAATCAGTTTGGGTGGAGGTTTTTAAAGGTGTGGTGCAAGGTATTTAAAAGGCATACATCAAACATCCTAGTGGTTTGAAGCTGGAAAAGATAGGGAAGATATTCGGCAGAAGATTCAGGGCTCAGAGAGATTCTCCAGGGGCCAAGTCTACAGAAATAAAATGTCATCTCCACAAGAGCTAGGATTCTACTGTGTCCTCGGCTCCCAGAAGTGCCTGTGCCTGGCATGGACTGGCGCTCAATGAACATTTGGTCAACAAGTGTGTAAATTAGTTACCTTTCCTTCCTGAACCTACTCTTAGATCTATCTTGACTAGCAGCAATCCCCAACAACCTGGGACTTGTTTTTGACCCCACCCTCTCCGTCATCCTCCACAGCTAATCTGTTACCACTTATCAAATCTACCTGTAGTATGTTTGTAGAAATCTTTTCCTCAAAACACCACTATCAACAATTTAAGATCCACATAGAATGAAATCTGATTAGTCAGCAAAATAGGCTAATAAAAAAGAAAACTCAGGGACTGGTGTGCTGAAACAGATCATGAGTGGAATGTGTGCATTGCTCCCCAGCTCTGAGTTCAGCGACTTCATTTTTGTCATTTGAAATTGGTCACAATGTCACAGCTGGAGTATTTTCACCACAGAAATCAGGATATGCCACGCATCAGTGTTTTCTGTTTTGTTGTTTTGTTTTTATTAGATCCAGTTACCAGCACACATGTGGTTTCAGCTCGTCAAAAACTTGTTAAGAGTAACATGGGGTGGTCTTCCAACAAAGTGAATTTAATCTTTTGAAGTTCTTTAAGTAAAAAGGATTGTATGTGTTCTCTATGGTCTGAAACAGTGATGATGCTAAGGGTAGCAGGTAAACATTTCAGAAAGACGGACTGTGTTTATGTTAGGAAATTTCTGAGACTGCAAGTGTCCGTTGGGCTAGGTGGTCACTTGCCTTGACAGAGACATTATAGAACAGCTGAATCCTGGAAGGCTGTAGGGGTTGAATGACTCCTTAGTAGAGTCATCAAATTTAGCAAATAAAAGTACAAGGTGCCCATGCCTGGCCGGTGTGGCTTAGTGGTTGAGCATTGACTCATGCACGAAGAGGACATGGGTTCGATTCCCGGTCAGGGCACGTACCCAGGTTGTGGGCCCAATCCCCAGTGGGGGGCATGCAGGAGGAGGCCAACTGATGTTCTCTCTCATTGGTGTTTCCATCTCTCTCTCCCTCTCCTTTCTTCTCTCTCTAAAAATCAATAAAGAAAATAAAATTAAATTAAAAAGTACAAGATGCCCAGATAAATTTAATTAATAATTCTAGCTGCTGAATTTTTATAATTTATTTTTTAAAGGCCAAATTAAGGACATTTGGGGTGTTCTGGGAAAGCCGATACAGGAAGCAGGACAATACCATTAAATAAAGACATGTTCTTTATGCAGAATGCCTGGCAACCCCACTCCTTAGGGCATTTCCACCCATGAAATCCACTCAGGCCTGTAGGCAGTGTTTTCAGCTGGTAGACCCAATTAATTTAATTCTCATATTAATTAAATTAACCAGAGCCTTTGCTGGAAAATTCATGATCAGTCTAAGTTCCGTACTGTGTTACTTAACAATAATATAGTTAATTCTTTCTTAGAAAATGCTTCTTTAATTCCAAAACTTTACAAACACCATCCAACTTCCTTCACTAGCACGCTCCCAATCCCTACCTCAATCACTGCAGTTATTTCACAGGAAGGAGATTCACTGGTGGGCAGTTCCCATTTCCCCTAATAATCCCTGTAAAGTTGAGAATCTACAGCACATATACACATGCCCAAGAGTCAACACTGAGACTTAAAGGCAGGGTCCATGAGCCTTAAAGGCAGGGTCCTCCTTGAATCTCTAAGCAGTCAACAATGCCTAGAACCTGGTACCTTCAACCAATATTTGCTAATTGAATAAACGTTTAGCCCTCTGTACTGAGCCTGACTTCCTCCTCACAGCTGGACCCAGATGTCAGAAGCCTGGACTCAGTTGTTCACTAAATGGGGCAGACAACCTCTAAATGAGCTTCAAATGTGACTGCAAGAAAAAGACACAGTCACTGACTGTATACACATATGTATGTGTGTAGATATCAACGTGTCTGTGTTATGGACCTGTTTTCAGCATAGTCACCTTGGCATTCCCTTGTGTCCCCATTGCTGTTAAGAGGTTCTGTTCAATGATACCCCTCCCAGCACCCTTCCAATCAGAAATGAGGCTCTCTGACTAATTTTTTTTCTCTCTCATCCTTGTTGCCATTATCATCAGTTTCTCAGGACATGTCTCATCATTCATAAAAAACACTGGCAACTTGCTTTGATATGCACCAACTCACTCCACACTTCCACTCCTGCCCTCAACCTAGGCAATTTGGACAGTCACAACAATGCCCTACCTCATGCCCAGCACACCAATATCCAACCCTACATCCAGTCAAACACAGTTTCTCCATTCTGAGCTGCTGAGTGAGGCTGAGGCCTGTTGTCACCATTTCAAACCATGAATGTTAAGATTTCTATTCCCACCCCAGCTGGATCTTTCACCGCTGCCTGGTAAAGGTAGTCACTCTCCCCGGACTCTTTTTCTGTCTTCTACAGAAAGGCCTCGTTCTTTTTTCTGTAATTTCTCATTCCATCTTGGCTTCTTTCATTCTCATGAGATGTCGTAAGAGGACCAAGATAATCCATTGAAAATCCTCTTAAGTTCTCCTGCCACTATCTCAAAATATCTCAGTCACTTTAACCTGCCTTTACTGCTGTCCCCCAGAGAAACATGTTCCTACTGAAGTAACCTGAACTCCTTTCCCTGTTCAGATGATCCCAGTTCTTCAGTTTCCTTGGACCTCAATGGATCTCTTCGTTAGCTTCACTTTGTTCCATAGTTGAAGGCTCCATCCCTCCTACAATGAAAACGCCCAACTCTCTCATCAGAGAGTGCCCTCCAGTGTCTGCTCCATCTCCCTCTCTTCAAACTCATCATTTGCATTCTCGGACCCTCGTCCTCATCTCCCTCTCCTGAATGATTCTGTAAAATGATGTTCATCCTTTCTTCATGTTTCAAAATTTTTAATTCTCACCCGAGGATATGTTTATTGATTTTTAGAGAAGAGGAAGGGAGTGAGAAAAACGTCGATGTGAGAGAGAAACATTGATCAGTGTCTCTCATACACATCCTGAAACTTTCTTTTTTGAAAGTCATTGCGCCTTTTTCAGCAGCTTTTTTTCCTTTTTCCGTCAACATCACATATTCTCATTTTGCAAAGAAAAATACTGAACCTCAGAAAATCGCATGCCAGAGGTGGTAGAGTCCAAATTGAAGCATAACCCTTTCCAACTCTATATTCTATTGTATCATCGTCCCTTTCCATCCCACACTGTCTTGTGGACCATTTCCTTAGCACAAATTTCCAAAAATAGGATTCGTGGGTCAAGGTATATGAATATTTAATAAGCAATAGATATTTATTGAGTACCCATTATGTACTCAGTATGTACCTATGTAGCAGGCATTAAGCTTGCTGAGGAAACAGCAGCAAGACAAGAACATTGTCCCCAGGTGGCTTGTGGACCTTGTGAGGAAGGTGGAGAAGCAGGCAAGGAGGAGAGGGAGACAGAATTAAACAAGTCCTAACTGTTACACGTGGTGAGTACTATGACAGACCTACAGATAACTATAAGAATATACAGCAGAGGCATTAGCCTAAATCTATGGGGTCAGAGAAGGCTTCTCAAAGGGGGGAATATTCAAATCAAAACCTAAAGGAGAGAAGAAATGAACCAGGCCAATGAAGATGAGAGAGGAGCATGTTACAGACAAAAGAGAGAAAATTTATAGAAAGCCAAGAAGCTAAAGTCAGCATGGGGCATTTTAGAAAATGCACAAAGTATGTCTGGTGAGAATACA